ATTCCTGCTAATTAATGTTTATATAGAACTGTTTTACTACCCAAATAGAAAGTTAATTTTTGGATAAGGACAAGTCACTGATCCCTGTAAAGGAGGCGCAGTTAGATTTTCATACTACTATAGTTTACATTCAAAAACAAAATTAATGAAATCTATGTTCCAGTATGCGTGACTTAAAGGATGAATTACTTACGTGACTGCATGGACATCTGTGAGGCTAATACAACGCATTCAGAAACACTCATACTTCAGCTCTATCTCATTCTAAAGCTGAAATATTTTGCTGTAATCCTTTTTAGAATAGCCACTATTCTGCATCAAGTCTCAGTTCTAATTAGTAGTAGCTACAACTGAAAGAGAGTAGCTGAATAGCTGCCTGCAATAAAACAACCACAACCGCTGCCACCTGAAATCATAGGTACTTATACCCAAGCAATCACAGCTTGAGGTAACTCATCAGTTTTAATCTATATAATTCGAGCCTTGAGAAACAACCAGAGACTCTGTCTTTTGCACTGTGGACTACATGGACCTAGGAGATGTAAAGCAACTTATTCAAAATACTTCACAAGTCTGGAAACAGTGATGATTAACGTTATTTCTGTTTCTCTGTGATTGGTAATCTTGGTATTTGAAAACCCCCTTTTATTAAACTTTGCGCTAAGTCTTCATATGAGGTACAATTCATCACATAAAAAAATTGCTCTAAACCAGATTATTTTAGAAGCTATTAGTCTAAACTCCAAGAAAAGTGCAACTTGAAGGAAAAAAAAAAAAAAACAACCTCAAGCTAGGATCGTGTCTGGATTTTTCTTGTAACTAAGCATGACACAGGGAACGGAAGTGAAGCACTGCTTTACTCAGGCAACCAGCATTAAGTTAATAGAAATAATTTTGTCCTTTGGTCCGATAACCACTATTGTAACAGTTTCATGATATAAAGCGATGCTTTAAAGTCAGCTGAAACATTTTAGGCATATCAAGTGATGTGAGTGATGGCAGAAAAAAAGGAAGAATGATTTATTACATTTATATGACAGGCTCAAAGTTCAGAGCTGTGTATCCTTCTTAACCACCCATGAGGTCTGAGCAGGTTCATGAAATGACAACAAAAGGACTAACCAAAATTTCCTAAGTTCCAGTAAATTTTGGCAAAGTGATAAAAGTTACAGAGGAAAAGCAAATGTAATTGTAAACTTTATTTCCATGGGACTCAAAACCAGGAGATCTACCTTTTTTGCAGTTTTCCCATGCACTTGTATTATACTAAAAAAAACAAAACAAAAAACCCTACACTGCTATCTCCATCTTCATTCTCTTTGTTTCTCATTCTGGACAGGGTAATTTAATCCCCTCATGCTTAGCATTTGCAACGCTCTCTGGACAGGAAGTTTTAAAAATTTATATTGTAAAATGCAGAAAATAAAATGTTCAAAGTTAAAAGGTCCAATTTATTACTCTATTCAAAAAGAGCTAATTAGGAAGAAAAAAATAAAAATAAAGTTAGGGAAATTAAACATCCATATTTAATCATTTAGATAAACATGGATGACTGATCTTTTATTTGTTTCCATGTCTCTTCACATCTTTGACAATAAGTATTACTTGAACATAATTTTCCAAATACACACTGGGAAAGCTAAAATTAAATATGTGCCTTTGGAAAAGTTTGATTAAAATCTTGACAAAGACACTTCAGTGTAGTTTCAACTCAGCAGAACCTCCTCAGTTTCTATAATTACTCCGAAAATATCAACTCTTCAAAACCCAGTTGATACAATTAGGATAGACGCTAAGATCAGAATCCTGCCCCACGACTTCAAGTGTGACTTAAGCATTTTCCCAATATTTTGGGGGAAAAATTGTGGGTCACATTTTAAGGGTATTATACACCGTCTTGATCCCTAGCTCACAATTTGCTATTCCAAACTATGTGCACTTAGAACAAGCTAAACATCTGTACAGAAACACACATATAGCTAATAAAACTAACATTTCAGACCACAACTTTTCCTCTTCACACTTTAATAGTTAACTGAAGTAAGTTTACCACCGTGACAACTCACATGGAATCCACAAGGAATGGTACAAGACAGGGATCCCATTCTTCACTCTTCCTTCCACTCCATGGGGAGGGAAGAAATGGACAATTCTTGTCCCACGAGCTAGTATGTGAGAGATGGCAGCTAAGATATGCTAAGTCCTCAGAGATGGCTAGAAGGATCATGAGCTAGTAAACACACTTGCTTCAAACTCCTTTTGGGAGCTGGTACACAAGTGAGAAAAAAGGGCATCATGAACCTTATGTCAAGTCCAAGTGGGTCAATGGTGGGAGCCCTGCTAGCCTGTGCCCTCAGGTGTTTCTTGTTTCTGCTTAGGATGCTACAAGCACAGAGTGTTTATGTGCTTTAATAGTTTGGAACACTGACAACGTTTGCTTGAGGAATACAAGCAAGGGACACAAAAATGTCACTCTTGACAGTTTATAGTTCTCTTAACAAAAGCCAAATTAGATGACAACTCAGAAAAAAAAACAGAATTATGTTCACAAAAGAAGAGATTAGGAATGTAAAAATAGGGACTGCTACTAGTTGCTCACTATAATCCTATTTCCCCATCACATAGCTATTTCCGCCCCCCCTCAGGTTTTGACCAATGCCAACAATAAAGGCATTTACACATCTTGCTCTGCAAACTGCAGCTGAAGACAGGCAAAGACAGGCACAACCAGTTGTGTTCTATTTAACACGCTACATTCAAGTGATGTGTATCAATAAATAATACTATGTTTTTAAAAGTGGTAAAAATGTGTTGCACTAAGTTGTAATGAGGATAACCATTAAAACATACATCCAATTTTACAAGTGATCCAGTCTAACTTCCATAAGAAGTGATTGTTGTCTGATATTAACTGGAATGAGCACAGGCACAGTAAGACAGACATTCACCCATCCATGACCAGGTTTGCTTTTTGATTTAGAAAGAAATGACAGTGGACAGCACGTAGACAGAAGTATCAGAAATTTTTTAGTAAATGAAGTTATAGAAAAGGACAGCTATTCTTCTACCATTTGAAGAAACATTAGAAGATACTAAATGTATGCATTTATGCTTGCAGAAAATACTGCTCATCAGTAAGAGAACAGATCAACATTTAAAAAAAAAAAACCAATGTGCAGAGCAAAGGAACAGGATAGAGCATGCACATACAATTTTGGTCTTGTTGCATGCTAATTTTTGAGAGTTCATTTATCAGACATGATTCCCCTCACAGTTTTTATTTTGTACAAGCGGTACATTACATTCTTAATTGGACTCCTGAACCTATTGCAATTTATCTTTTCTAGAAAGTGCCCAAAAGGTGTATAAGATGTACAAAAGGGATGAGCTAGTGGCTTCTGCCCAACTGCAGATAATTTTATAGCTACAAAAAGGTACATTTATGATCCAATGGTAAAAAACTGTTAGTGGATGAACTTCTATTTTACCAGAATATAAATCAAAGATATGCATCTGACAAAGAAATACAACAGACACCTACTGAACTAAAAATATTTCTTCCTCCTTGCCCCTCTAACCTTTCTTTCAGGTCATCCAAGCAACGCTGAAGATGAACTTCTCCTGCTGTCACTAGCACATGCTCTCCTGTCTCCTGGATTAAAACTTGGACACATGGATCAGCTTGGTTTAAAAGCTTCATTCCTCTGACCAGCTGAGGCATATCACCTGGCAAAATAATGTATTATTAACAAAGTAATACTGATGAAGGAATACTTGAAGTAGGATATACTTACAAGTGAGAAATAGTAACACTCATTTTTATGGATTTCTAAACACAAATACGTATTTTAGGAATACTCAAAAATTTCAGCTAAGTTCTGAGGTCTTTCTGTGGGCAAATTTCTGTTTATGAGTCACAAAGAATGCTATAGTTAAAGAGCAGCAACTGAAGACATAAGCTATACTCATAATTTGTCACCAAGAATTCATGTACTGATGATACAATTCACATTATACAATCATAACCATGGTACACGTTTGAATGGATTGCATGTTTTTGTTCTACGTAATTTTACAATAGGTTTAGTATAGCAAGCTAGCTATTGACTATGACTGTGTTATCTTGCTTCCTGTATACAATTAGCTACAGATACAGGTCAAACAGCTCACAACCAATAAAAAAATTGAATGTTACCAATATGAAGTGATTAAAAATTTCAGGATTTCACTCCTCATTTTCACAAATTATCACAAGATATAACCTCTCATCTATTACAACTAAAGTCATCTTTCAGTAAATAAGTGTATTCTTTGAAATCTTTCATGGCTAAGTGTAGCAAACTGTAAGTTGCTAATGCTTAAAATGCTCCAAAGACATAAATAATAACATGTTAACTTGACTAAAATAAAAGCAAAAATTATTCCATATGGATTACTTAGAAGGCATAAGAGTGAATGAAGCACAGGAAAGATTTAAACTAGCTGGAACCACTGAAAAGCTTTAATGATATTACAACCTGAAAAGGTGAAAAATCAGGAATGTGAGAGCTTTTCAGTGAAACAAAACACAGCTGCCCCTAAAATGAAGGTGTTTAAAAAGAGTTGCCTTAAAGTTAATAGAGAGTGAACAACCACAGCTGAGTCAAATTTGGGTAGATTACATCAAAGCTATGCATAAACACCTCATGTCAGCAGCCTTTCACAATTAATACAATTTTAAAAATTAATTATGATTCCTTTTTCTTATTTTACATATGGGGAAAAGAATACCCACAGGCTTTCTAGGAATGCATATTCATATTCAGAAGGAAGAGTGAGATTAAACTTGCCATTCACTTGGAGACTATTAAAAGAAATATGATATTGTATATTTAATGCTAAGCTTTTAAGGGTATAATAGAAAAGTATCCTTGAAAACCAGACATAAAAATAAACAAAAAGTGGAAAAAACACAGTGTTAGTTCACATGGCCAACACAGCTGAACAACTTGCAACCTTGTCTTCTGCATTTAAGCCCACTGAGAGGGATGAATAGCTTTTTTTTTTTCCTTTTAGAGCTTAAGGTAACCATACATGAAGATTGACATGAATGTGAAGACATGCAGTAATTTTGTAAAACATACATAAGGAAGCAATTTGTATTTATTTAATTCATTTTCCAAATAAGCAAATGCACTTTTGAGGTAGGTTTGCTGTGGAAATCCAGGGCACTCATGTAAGACAATGTGCTAGGGCCACCTCAAGACTATATGCTGGACAATTGACTGCTTTCAAGCTGAGCCTGCAATGGCCAAATTTTGCTTGTCTTCCTGTTATTGCAAGCAGCAGCTGATTTTCAGGAAACTTTTGCAAGTGTAGGACTTTTGAGGCTTTTGTCCCTCTAACAGATATAGTTCAAACCACAGATTCAGAAGTTACCAGGGAGGAGAAATTAAGCCATGGTGTAAGAATGATATAGCTCCATTTCCTTATGGAAAAAAAATTACCCCAAAATCAGTCAGTAGTTCTAGAATTACATTCCTTTAACATTTTCAACTTAATACTACACTCAGTAGAACCAGTAATTTCCAATACTTTCAAAACTGCTTTAACAAATGCAGAATGTACAATATACGATTATCTGTTATTCAGACATGTGAGACAAATAGCTGCTAAGCTGCCCAATCACTTTCTAAAAACCATGTAATCTTAGAGTATTTTGTAACTGAACAGAAAGCCAGTTATTTTGGTTCTACTAACAGTACAACAACAAATGGAAATTGGGCTAAAATTCAAATATAGCCGGATATACTACTCTCTGGTTGGGGGTAAAAAAAAAAAAATAATCAATTAGAAGTGGTACAGCAAATCCGTACCACGAGCTTAATGATGTAGCATAAAAGAATGCCAGCAGAAGTGAAAAACCCAAAGATATACTTACCTTCAAAGTAAAGGAATACTGAACCTTTAGCATCACATAGTGTCTTGTGGAACAGCTAAGTCTGACCATAAAGGGCACAACAAGGTCTTCTGTATCTCCTCACCTACTGAGACATGAGCTAGCCAGCTAAAAGGATTCACAAGGACAATAAAGTATGGCCCTCTAGGCAACGTATATATTTGTTTTATACTGGGGCAGTCTCTGATTCAGTAGACAGATCATAAACCAGCCAAATCACTAAGGGTGGGAAGCTGCATTGCTACCACATTGTAATTACATTACCATCCCCATTCTCCTTTAAACTTACTTGGATGTTTCGGTTCAACAGCTACTCGCACAATAGGTGTAGCTTCAAAGTTGAGAGGTGTAAATGGTGGACAAGCTGGAGACGTTGACAGTGTTGCAGACTTTAGCACAAAATCTTGCAGGCCTCCTATTCCTAATAGAAATTGGAAAAAAAAGCAAAACAACAAAAAATTACCCACTGTCATATTAAATGAGACTAAAGACATGGTCATCAAGCTAAAAAAAGCTGAAATTATTCTAATTACAAAAATCAGGTTAAAAAATTCCTCACTGCTCATATAAAGTATCTGTTAAAATATTTGTGTGTAATCTGGGTACTCAAGTGTCTGGTGTGACATTTGATATTCAGTCTCACAGTTCCCACTGCATTGCCTCTGTATTTTAAAAAGGCATGTTTATAACTCTGAAGAACAGAAAGGATATGAGGACTTTTTTCCTTTCTAATACGTCCAATCCTTTGTACAACTCAGGCTTATTTTTGGTGGTTTAGATTTAGAAAAATTTAGATTGCAAGAGTCCTCCAAAGGTCATCTAGTCCAATCTCCAGCTCAAAGCAGAGCTAACTTCAAAGTTAGATCAAGTTGCTCAGGGCCTTGTCCAGTCAAGTTTATAAACCTTTAATGATGGACGCTCCACAGCCCCTGTTGGCAAGCTCCTCCAGTGCTTAATTACTCTTACTGTGAAGAATGCTTTTTTTTTTTTTTCTTCTCCTTCCCACCCCCCCAAGCCTATTTGGGATTCCCCTCTTCTGCAACGTGAATCTTGTAAAATCTAATTTATTATATAGCAAGCTATTAATTCTAATCCTAATATATTTTATAATGCTGGCAAGCTGGAGAAAACTGAGCTTAAACTGTAGTGATAAGAAAAAATATAGAAAAAATATTAGCTATAAATCTGCAAAATAGCTGCTGTAAATGCATATTTAGTCTTGGCTGGCTGGCTGGCAGATTTAAGACAATTTGAAATTACTGCCTTCAAATTCCTAACCAACAGGACATCATTCATAATTTAGTCAGAGCTATAAAAACACCACCAGAAGTGGTTGAGTAATAAAGACAACAAATAAAGCTGATACTGATATATACAGTCACTTTTACTGATTCTCCCTCAATCAAAGTGAAGAGCATTGCAGTACTTCTAATGGAGTATAAATTAAATGTACATGTAACTTATTACAAGAAAACGAAAACCTTTAGTTCATGATCTGCTTGAGGTTAGGAAGTCTTTACAGAGGGATCTGGACAGGCTGGATTGATGGGCCAAGGCCAACTGTATGAAGTTCAACAAGGCCAAGTGCCAGGTCCTGCACTTGGGTCACAACAACCCCATGCAGTGCTACAGGCTTGGGGAAGAGTGGCTGGAAAGCTGCCTGGCCAAAAAGGACCTGGGGATGCTGGTTGACAGCCGGCTGAACATGAGCCAGCAGTGTGCCCAGGTGGCCAAGAAGGCCAACAGCATCCTGGCTTGTAAGTGTGGCCAGCAAGAGTAGGGAAGTGATCATCCCCCTATACTCAGCGCTGGTGAGGCCGCACCTGGAATACTGTGTCCAGTTTTGGGCCCATCAAATACAAGAAAGACATTGAGGTGCTGGAGCGTGTTCAGAGAAGGGCAACAAGGCTGGTGAAGGGTCTGGAGCACAGGCCTTATGAGGAGCGGCTGAGGGAACTGGGGTTGTTTAGTCTGGAGAAGAGAAGGCTCGGGGAGACCTTATCGCTCTCTACAACTACCTGAAAGGAGGGTGTAGTGAGGTGGGTGTTGGTCTCTTCTCCCAGGTAGTCAGGATGAGAGGAAATGGCCTCAAGTTGTGCCAGGGGAGGTTTAGATTGGGTATTAGGAGAAATTTCTTCACCGAAAGGGTTGTCAAGCACTGGAACAGGCTGCCCGGGGAAGTGGTTGAGTCACCATCCCTGGAGGTATTTAAAAGACATGTAGATGTGGTGCTTAGGGACATGGTTTAGTGGTGGACTTGGCAGTGTTAGGTTAACAGTTGGACTTGATGATCTTAAAGGTCTTTTCCAACCTAAACGATTCCATGATTCTATCATAATCTATACCTGCTTAAAAATTAAATTTGCATCTGTAGATTGCTGTATATTTGTGCTCCTTCCTCCTCCTTCTCTCCTACATGCCCAAGTAGTGATTAGCAGAGAATTTCTTAAGCCCAGCTCCCCATTATCACCCTAATGCTTTTCCAGGTTCTTTTTTGGCTTAGTCGTCTTTATTTGAGGCCAGAAACAAAGCGGGTCAGCTTCCACCCTATGAGATCATGAGGGAGTTTAAATTCTGAAGAGCCAGTCTGCTGCAGAGTTATCATCTGCAGAATCAGGCTGTTTCTACAGCTCTGAAGGCTGAATGTCTGGCCAGTAGGATATGCCAAAACCCAAAATGTCACTATTTAAGAAAACCTGCCTCAAAATAACTGGAAGCAGAGCAACGTTCAACGGCTTTAAATGCAGGATAGCAGATGCTACAAAGAAAATAAATCTGTATAAACTCTGTGTTGCACCTGACCTATGACCAGCATGTATTTCCTCTTTTTCACTTATTCAACATGTGGTTTGAATGAAAAACAAATGCTGGATCCTCATCACCACCAGGGACTGAGAAAAGGGATGGGTCCATTTTATTCTGATCTTCTCCAGCTGGTAAAAGGAAAATGATTTAGAGTGGGAGATGAACAGCTTCTTTTCACAGTGTAATGTGAACCAGCGAAATCAAGTTACCAAATCTCACTTCAGATAGACCCACTCTTCTCTTGACACATGTTACAGTACTCTTACTACCATAAAAAAAACTTAAAGCTCTCTGCTCTTTTGTTTCACATTTGAAGGTAAAAGTACCTGAATTATACTAGTGTCTGGCAACAACAATACACTAAAAATAAAAAAAATCTGTCAGTTTTCATGAAAATCTGTTAGGCTTACAACCTGAGCATTTTAATTGCTTAACTGCCCTGATGAATCTATTTAATTTACAAATTCTTAGTAACGAATGTTGGAAAAAAAAAAAGCCATAAAGATTAAAGGTTCTTGGACACTGTTTTGCATAATATGATTATGAGTAACTGCTAATGTATTTTCTGAATAATATTAGACAAAGATGTAACATAACTAATTCCAAAGTACCGCGTGACATGTCAATGGAAGAATTCTACTAATTATGCTGATACGACAATGTTAAACTTACTTATTTTTCATCCCACTGAAATTTACACATACTACTTGAGATCACAGATCTCAAATGTATATTAATGTTAATTACTTTAATAGACTTAGAAAAGCCACTCCAAAATTAAGCTTATAAATACACCTCCCATTTTCAGATTGTTTTTGTTCTGTTCAACCCTTGAACAAAGACATCATTATAACCACACGCATTTTACTTCCCATTTCTTTTTGTAGTACAGTAATTTTCAAAAAGAAAGGAACCAAAGGTAAGAAAAAACTGCTTAAGCAAGGAAGGTGAGACAAGCTACTGCTTTTTCGTTTTAGGTTAGCTTAAAGAATGAAATACTGAAAAGCACTGCAAGTATTTTTGAATAGTCATCTCAAAGAACAACCTAGTCTAAAAGTCTGCAGTCTGTCACACAAATAAATATGCATGGCAGTAGGCAGTTTGTTATACATTGCTTTTATTTATTTATTTATTTTTAAGAGAAGCCAGAGTTAAAAATGCCTATAGGAATTTTTAAACATATTAACTTCATCAGGCAACTACTTTTTATGAACTCTGCCTGTGGTGTGTCACCTAATGTCTGTACGAAAGAAAATGCTGAATTCTGACTGTTCAGGGGAGTGTGTAAACTTCAAAGACACAAGAGTTTATTAAAAAGTCCTTATTAGAAGTATCACACACTTTACTATATACTGTGTAACACTACATTGTAACATTGTACTTGGTAGCAAAGCCTTTTCTTCCCAGTCAGGAATCAAATCACCTTTACGGTTTTTATAATGCAAGGCAAACAGCCATATAAACTAAACAGTTACAACTGTAAGTATTCTTTTTTCTTGTGCACAGTCCTGTTGAGATTAAGGGGATTACAGTGTAAAGAACTGCAAAGTAAGCTACCCATGCTGAAAAGTCAAGCCTACCAAGGGATACCATACCAGATTTGATACTAAGTATGAGACTAGATTATTTTCTCTTAAATTCGTCATCTAAATGCTTTGCTCCTACTCTAGAATAGTATTTTTGTTTTGAAAAAGCATTCCCACATGCTACTGGTCACTAAAGAAACAGTGTCTGAACTCAACTGGACTTGAATAATAACAGCCACTGAAAAACACCACACTCCAGGGCTCTGTCTCTACATGCCGAGGACTTCACTGAAAGAAAGGTAATTTTACAAAGCTTAAGAAAGAAAACTCAGAAAGAAACACACAGACTAGCATCAGTTCTACGAACTTGATACCATCTTTAAAAGAAACAGGCAAGACTGCAAATATTATCTGGAGATATAATTTTTAAAAGATTACAAATTATCTCTCTTGTCCTAAAGAGGCCAATCCTACACATAGTTGTTTATCAAACTGATTTTTGCTAGCATATATTATTGCCCGCATGTATAGAAATCTAACCAGTTGCTTACTTTTTACATAGCCTACATTCAGATTACTCTGACAAATTCTTCCCAGTGACCAAAAATAAACATATTTCAAAGTCTTAAAGTTATTATTTCAACAGTAATTGTCAGTCTGTAGGTTGAAAATAAGACTTCCTCTTAATAGACAAGCAACTCATTAAAAGCCTGTGAGATAACGTTAAGAAATACCTTCTGAGTTTGGTTGGTTGTCATTTAAAAAGTAGACCAAATTGTGGTGTACATCAGGGAGAATTGTTACACAGATGGAGAAATGTTAGATTTACAAAGGTCCTTCTTTTGTTGAGTCCTTTCTATTACCTGCCCTAGAAGATAAGAATACTAAATCAAGTATCTACCTACTTGTTTCACCAGTGTTTTTATCACGATAGCAACTAAATGGTAAAAACAGATAAGAACATTATGACTGAAATTTTCAAAAGGAGTAGGAGATTTAAGACAAGTCTCCATTTAGTTTTCACTTCTGTGTCTTGCTGGTAACCACTACACCTTAGACACTGATTTTGCAGCCTTTAAAGATAAAGTACACTCTTCCAGCTGAATTCAGCTATAAAGATCTGAACACATAATAGATCAGTTTAAAGATATATGTAATTAGTT